TTTTTCACTGGCTCCATGCTTTTTTTTGAATTTGGTATCTAAAACATACATATGACACAACTCTTTTAAATATATTTCTGCCTTTGGGTTTATAACATAACATTGCTTCTCTCTTTCTTAAACTTCCATGTAATATATACTCTATTCTTTTTTATGTATTTATGATAAAATCAATTCTTAATCTCTGGTTGAACACAGAGAATTTCAGTTGAGTAAGTCTCTGAAATTCCATTTTGGGGGCTTACACAGTCAGCAAATCTAACAACAACTAGGAACAAACACAGAAAGTGCATCTACTCCATATGAAGTAGAGAACTTGGTCTCTCCCATCAGTCTTTGGGAAAAGATGCAATTCAGGTCGAGATAGAGCTTGTAAATGGACCTAATGCTGTGTGATAATTTCTAGCACAATTTTAGGGCAAGAGCCTTCTGAGCTTGCGTTCTAAAGTATAGGGGGAGTTTGGAACCTAAAGTCACCACTTCCCAGTGAGGTTGGGAATAAAGGCAGCAGAAAAACGGTTCATTCAATTGTGTAACCCATTCCCTTTCTGCCGCAAGTCTGTCTTAGCCTCAGCTGCATCTATGAGAATCAAGACGAGCCTCTTGTGTGGCCCATTTTTGCAAACCTTAATCTCCAATGTCTTTCAAAAACAGTGATTTAAAGGTAAAAGATTGTTGGCATAAGCTGTTTGTACTTGAAAAACTCAAAGAACTGCAAGATTCAAGCTAACTAAAGCTTTAAAACGGTCTAGCAATTAGACACCCCATTTCAGTCCCTTAATCCCAGTCAGAATGCCTAATCAAGACTGAACATCAAAGGCACACTTACATATGTTAGGGATTAAAAGAGAAAAATACGTATTAATAATATATATATTATATATAATATGTATTATATGTATTTTCCTCCAAGTTCTCAATAAAATGAACAATAGATACAGCGATAAAAATCAAAATATCAGTACTTTGCTGATAAAGCTATATCATGATCAATAAGGGCTTCCTAATTCTCTGTGTCCCCAACATCACCTAATTCTTATTAGACTTTGGATGACCTGCTCAAAGGAAGACATACAAAGGAAACACTTACCTGGACAGCAGTGTGGGCCGTGATGTCCTCCAGGTAGTTAAGAGCCAGAGTCTCTCCAGGCCTGCCTCTGGAAGGCAGATCTGGGTCTCAGCCAGTGTGATGAGCACATGAACTCAGAATCGGAGCTATGTGTGTGCACACCAGAGCTGGAGTCACAGAAGAGAGCGGGATGGAGAATGGAAACAACCTGATTCCTGATGCCCCAACTAGAGATTGTAATTTTTTTCTAATGGGAGAAGTGAGAGGTAGGTGGGGCAAAGAGAAATATTTCACAATGATCCTTTGCTTGGAAAGGAACAGAGAAATAGGGACAAAGAACAGATCATTGCCTCCATAGGCAGGGTCAGCCTGTTCCCTTCACCTCCTCTACGCAAGAAATACACTGATCTCACATCCATGGTGGGACTTGGAATTAATCCCCAGCTTCCAACCCAGATTTCAAGAAGACTTCTATTAATAGATTCTGTTACTAGTTCATTCCTATATCAGATCTGAGGAGCAGAGAGTTGGGTAAGGATATAGGGGTTCAGCCCAAATCCAACCAATCCCCAGAAACATTTCCTCCCTAAGCCTGGTCTGATAGACAAAAGTAGAAACAGGAATTCCAAGAGATTCAAAATGTTCTCCTAAGGTATTGCCCTCATAAGTACTCCTCAAAACCCGCTGGAGCACGAAGAATAATGTTCAGATCAAGAAAGCATTAAAAAGCCAGGCGTCGGTGGCGCACGCCTTTAATCCCAGCACTCGGGAGGCAGAGCCAGGCGGAACTCTGTGAGTTCGAGACCAGCCTGGTCTACTGAGCTAGTTCCAGGACAGGCTCCAAAGCCACAGAGAAACCCTGTCTCGAAAAACCAAAAAAAAAAAAAAAAAAAAAAGAATATTGGAGGCTGCTTGGTTAGTAAGAGACAGAGCCATGCTAAGGACCTTGGGATCCTAGGTTCCAATCCTGGCGTCAGCCTAAACAGTTAACTATCACAGCCCCGTTGCCGAAGACCTGTCCGGAGATGTCTGCTTGTGTAGCATTTGGCTGGGATTCCAGGCCCCCCCGCCTTCCAAGTAGACTCCAGCAGCCTGATTTATAATTTTAAGGAATAGGTTTTGGCCTCAAGTTTTGGTTTTGCAGAGAAAGGGGGTTTAGCAGTAAGGTCGGATCTGGTTTCATGGCCTGACCCCAAGGCAGATCTCCACNCTCGAAAAACCAAAAAAAAAAAAAAAAAAAAAAAAGCATTAAAAAAAAAAATCTTGTCTCTTTCATCTGTCCACTGTGGAGTCCTGAGTGTCTCTTTGATTGGCACTCTAAGACCTGACGGCAGTAGAGTATCAGAGAACTTTCTCAATGAAAGTCCCCAAGGCAGAATCCTACTGCAGACATTATTTGAGACCTTGAAAATTGAAAGTTATGTATCAGTTGGAAATCTACGTATTTTTTAAAACTTAATTTCAGAATGGTTAATAGCAGTTCTTATGAGCTTATTTAGTTCACTTACCCAATGGTAAATTCCCTAGTGAAAGGATAAGGAGAAAACTTTACCTCACTGGGTCCCATGGGACCCGAACTATCTAGCCTCGAACAAGGAAACAGACAAGCTATAGGGATTCTTAATTCTCTTAAGGGATTCTTAATTCTCTTACTAACTTAAAAAAAAATCACCTTTAAAGTTAGGATTTCCTCTTCCTCTGTGTAATTCAAGGGAAATCCCATCTGCTTTGCTCTTCATGCCCTTATTATAAAATACTGAACCTCTTGAGGATTATAGGCCCCCCTTCTTTGGGCTACCCCAAGGATCCCTCCCCTCACATAGCTTATGAGAACCTAGTTGCATTCCAACGCCATGTTTGTGCTCATTTAGTCTCTCACGGATGCCTGAATGCCCAGGACCAGGAAAAGAAGAGAGACTGACACTCAGAGTTAGTCCATTAGCCCCAAAGGAAAGGTTTCTCCTAGGCTCTTCAGCCTGTGGGCATGAGAATGGACTTCACCTGGGAGGCAGTGCAGATGGATCTCTGTGAAGTTCAGGCCAGTCTGGTCTGCAGAGTTAGTTCCAGGACAGCCAGGGCTTCACAGTGAAATCCTGTCCCCCACCCCCAAGAAATAATAAAGTTATAAATAAATGAATAAAAAGGAAAGGAAAGAGAAGGGTTTGGGTATTTATTAAATACAATAGCCAAAGGACTCGGGGAGCCCCTCAGCATGAGAGGTTTACAGCAGCAGCAGAAAGCAGGAGAGGGCACGTGGAGACAGAAGGCAGGCTCTGTCTCGGGTTGCAGGGAGGGAGAAAATGGGGACACAAGCAGGAAGGAAAGCCATTTAAAAGGCAAACACTTCACTTTTACTCACAGCACTTGCCAGAAACTTAGCATATAACTTTCAAGATAACTTAAGCTTCAGCATTTAAATATATAGAACAGGGGAGAGCAGTTTGCTTTATCGGGTGCCTCTTAGGCTCCCACGAGATTACAATATCCTTTACAAGTTGATTCATGGGGTGGTATAAGATATCCAGGAGGGGACCCTAGGGGACCTTATCAGGTTAGGAAAGGCCTTCTAGCCTCATATTTAGTGAAAGGAACACATACACAGGCACATACACAAACACAGGCACACACACACGCACCAATGATTTCAATCCACAGTAGCTAGGACACACCACAGAAAAATACTTCTGATGTCCGATTCCTTCAAGGAGGTCCTAATTTAAGATTCTGTCGTTAGAGAAAGATGCTCCTATTTCATAATAGCTATTATCTAGTTGCTCTGTCTGCAAATCCAAGACAGCAGCCCTCTAAAACAAACCAATCTCTCACCTTTTTCCCCTCACCCACCAACTCGCCTGTAACCGAAACAACAATGTACAGACCTCCACAGAAATTCAATCCTACTTAGCCACTAAGAAGTGAATAGACTCTACCATGCCTGAGATTACACAGGGTGAGGCAGCGGGAACTTCGTCTCTCTGTTTCTATCAATGGTTGTGAAAAGTCTTTTGCACCCGTCCCACCCAAAAGTGACTTGAGCTTGCCTTCTAGGTGAAGGAGAAAGTATTTCAGACCAGCTTTTTCTATCTGGTGCTATTATGATTGTTTTCTAATTACTTAATCAATCTCCTCATAGTCGTGAGCCAGAAAGTTACCACCCCTGAGAAGGATTTTTTTTTTAAGAGGAAAAGGGCCAAAACGCAAGCGCAGGGTTCCACATTATGCTATAGGAACTGCAAGCAGACCCATACCACTCCCCAGGCACAAAAAAGCACATCCCAGCCATACATCCACAAAGCAGAGGTAGCTGGGACAATTGGGAGAGTGGAAGATATTAGCTTCCCATCAACCTGGAACTCTTGTTTAAAAGATAATAGAAATAAATTAGTAAACATTGCTGTTTACAGAAATAGAAATAATTTCTGTTTCCAAAGGCCTCTCATCATCCAAGTCTGGACATTTCCAAGACTGCCACCCTGGGTACCATCGCCAAAGTCCGCCCTAGTCAATGACTGCGCCATCAGAGTCTTTTTGGACTGGGAGTTCCTCAAGCCTCAGAGAATTCAGTTTTACATCTCCGGTTCCCTGGAAGGAAGAATCTTCAGTACGTTGAAGAGTACCGGAAGTTCATCCCTTCTCCTCGGTTCCTAACTGGCTGCTTTGAAGCAACAGTTCCTTTCAGATGGTAATTGCGTTCCTTTCAGATGGTAATTGCGTTGCAAGACTTCCGACCATCTTCGGGCTCCCAGTCCTTCACCAGAGTCCCACAGGCTTGTCTGGAACCCATCCTCAGAGCGGAGCAACCAGTCTGTGCCTTTGTCTAACGACCCTGGAACAGAGGAATCGACAGAGAGAAAAGGACTTGGCCTGGGCGGGAGAGTAGGGAAGGGGGCTGTGCTCGAGGGAAAGACAGACTGCAAGGACAGTCCTACAGTCAAGCAGTGAAGCTGGTCTCCTGGCCAGAGCCTGAGCTGGAGTCGGAACCAGAGCTTTCCGCCATGGCTGGGGGTGCGGGGCGGGGCGTGCGGCGACGCCCCCGGTACTCGATCATGTCGGGATGGTAAGTCGGATGGCGACGGGCATGCTTGGTCAAGTGGTCGCTTCGGGAGAACTGCTTGGGGCACAGCGGGCAGGAGAAGCGCTTTTCACCCGTGTGCGTCCTGTAGTGGCGGGCCAGCTCGTCAGAACGCGTAAACTTCTTGTCGCAGTCGAGCCAGTCGCAGGAGAAGGGGCGTTCCCCCGTGTGAGTGCGTTGGTGTGACTTGAGGTGCGAAGACTTGTAGTAGGCTTTGTTGCAACCCGGGAAGGCGCACTGGTGTCGCTTGGATGCGGGTGTAATCGGCCTTCTCCGGAATGTCGGGCCCATTGCTGGCGAGGGGCGGGCCCCTGGGGGCCCCTCTGGCCCCTCGGGCCCCTCTCCGCTGTCATCGGGGTCTTCTTGGGCATCGGGTGCACTCAGGATGGCAGGTTCACCCCAGGAGCTCTCAGCTCCGGAGAACTCCTCCTCCAAGAAGGCCTGGATCGGCTCGGAGCACCCAGTGGGGCTGGAGCACCAGGTCGGCTGGCAGCAGCTAGTTGAGGCACACGGGACTTCTCCCAAGGTCTCCCGGGAGCCTTCCACCGCACTGCAGCTTAGATCCGCCAAAGCGCTCGCAGCCAGCAGGTGGGGGGCTCCATCGCCCTCGCCAGGGTTAGGGGAGGGGATCTGGAGGACCGGGGGGATCCACAGCACCCCCCGTGTCCCGGAACCCGTCCCCACCGACTCCCGTGGCACCGCACCCACCTCGGCGACAGCTGCGGCTCCCGCGGCTCCCGCTCCCTCGGGGTTCGTTGCGCGCTGGTGCAGCACGGGTCCGGTGGACATAGACACCAGGCACTCGGCTGCGAAGTAGTCCAGGCAAGCCACGGCGGCCGACATGCTGGCGGAGCCCGGTTGCGGGCGAGCGCCGTCCGAGCACGGCCCGCCGCTGGCTGGAGAGTCTCCCGGAGCGTCCGTCCCGCCGCTCGGAGCCGGACAAGCCGGAGACCGGTGCGCACCGCTTGCTGTCCCGCAGCCGCCGCTGCCGGCGCTGAACCCGCCCCGCTTGACGCGCCCCTGACTCTCTGGAGCCTGCGGGGGTGGTGGGGACCCGCCCCGGCCCGAGGACACCCCTGGAAAGCGCTGCCGCGCGGGCTAAGGCTTTCCCAGCAGCCTGAGAAATTATCTTGTCTGCGCTTTCTCTCCGCTGCTGGCGAGCCAGGTAATTTCAATGCGCGCAAGTCCCGGATCGCAACTTCTGGGCAGCCTGCCGGTCTCGCCTTCTCCCGCCCCCCCGCGCCCCTGGTCCCTGGCCAGCTGGGTGTCCAGCGGAGTCCTAGAAACTTTTTTTTTCCTTTAAGGGGGGGCGAAAAAAAGCCGCGTTCGTACCTGATTTGTCTTTCGCTTCGCAAACGCGATCGCTGGCGAAGTGGGCTGGGATTGCGTTTGACTCGCGTCCACCGCTCGCTGCCCAAATTGAAAATAGCCCCAAGTCTGCATCCAAAAGAAAACGGGGGCGAAACAAAGTTTTCCCATTTAGCAGTTCGGCTGTTAATGCAGGATCGGCAGCCGTGTCCTAAACAGATCCACCACGTAGCCACTAATTAATAGCGTTTTGAAGCAGAAACGTTTTTAACCCTGGCGAGCGCGAAGAATCCTCCCGGCTTGAAATAGAAACTTAAAATCCTTGGAGTAACGATTTAACTATTCAAGCAACGAAAGAAAAACGCATGTTTAAACTGCATTAACCTGTCACAGGCACACAAACAAATTTCCGCGCTGAAATATAAATTACAGACTAGCAGCGAGATAAACACATTAAAATGGACTCCCACAATTTTAATAATAGAAAGTCACGTTTCCAATTAGGCAGCGTCTTTTATTTCTCTTTTGACAAAAATTTAAAAATAAGAAAATGCAGCAAAATGATATAGAATGTTCATCCAGTGGTTTGTGATTGTGGGGGGCTTTTTCTTTGTTTATAATCAAATATGTGAATGATTGCTATTACACGTCTTCACTGCCTTATTTGCTCTCCCCCTTTTTCAATTTTTAAAATTAAAAAACCCACAGAAAATAAACAGGATCATTTCTAAACATAGCCCTTCCACAGTTTGGGATGTTCACAGGCTTTAGTTTTATAATATGAAGCTCTGTGCATTTTGTTTGCAATGCTTCAGTATTTTTTTCCTTTGGAAAATTAAAATGATACACATGCATCAAGAATAACTTATGTCCATATGCTTAATGACTAGAATAATCAAATATGATATTTTTGTCGTGTTTGCTTCGCATTTTTCACTTATATTAAACATTCAGAGAGGGCTGACTGTCTGACTGTCACTTTCCTCCTCCCCGGTACGTTCCTTTCCTCGCAGCTACTCGTTATGGTAAAGTGCAGTGTATTTTCTTCCAACACTTGCTATACCCTATTGCCCAGTCACCTATGTATGTAAATACGTTTATGAAGCCTTGTTGGGGCAGTTGCAATTTTTAACAAATGCTGCAGTGCTGCACTTTTTGCAGCTTGCTTCTCTCCGTGTGATTTTTCATGCTGATACCTGTAGAGCTGCTTATTCATTTGAGCTGCCTTAAAATAATACTGGCAGCTGTACTGTTATTAAGGAGAGCCAGTTCTGAAACTGATGATTTTTGCTAAAGGTATTTGCCTCAAATTTTCATATGCTGCAGCAATCTTTACAGGAAAATGCTACCAGAATGATTTTCTACCTGTTTCTCTTTTCAAGTTGTGATTTAGAAAAACATGTAAAGATATTTTTAAATGCTGGAAGAAGAGAATACAAGCGTACCTGTCTTCTGTAATTGATAAATCTTATCATCCTGTCATATCTGTTTCAGATCTTCTGTTATCATTTCTGTCCCTTTGCCTGCCTCCCTGGCAGCACTCCCCACCCTTTCCCCCAAAGGCAAACACTATCATGAATTTGGTATGCAATTTGCAATTTAGGCTGCGCACTTTCAGCTGCATATAAATCTATATGAGACACTGCTTTTTAAAAATGCATACACATGGTTTTAGGCTGTATATATTATTCTTCAGCTTGTTTCTTCCTTCTTGGTTTGTTTTTATTTTTTCCTATTCATGTTGCTAAATATAAATGTAGTTCATTAATTTTAATTATTCCATCTTAGATCCAGGCATATGAATGTGTCCTGTTTATCGATGGTCCTATTGATGAGTGTTGGAGTTGCTGCCAATATTTTGATATTAACTGGTGCATGTTTGTCTCGCACATATGTAAGACTTTCTCCATGTGTGTACCTAGAGGGGCACTGCTAGGCAGCACTCACTTTTGGAGTTTTATTGGGCACTGCCAAATGACTCTCCAGTTTGCACACCCATCAGTAGTGGGTGAGAGGTTCTGTCTCCCTCACATGACATTAAACACTTTCTAGATGTAGACTTATTTCTGCCAATTTGATTTTTTAAAGACCCAGTATCTTGTTATTTTATTTGAATTTCCCTCACTGCTAGTGAGGCTGGGCATTTTTCTGCATATTTATTGGCTGTTGAAGTTTCCAAGTCTGTGATTTGTTTTTCCATAGCCTTTGTCATTTTTCCAATAGGCTATGTATGCTTTTTATCTTTCATCCCTTAGATTTATAGTGTTTCTTGCATATGTACATTGAACATATTGTCCCAATCTATAGCTTGTCTTTTAACTTTTGATGTCTTCTGTATTATAAAAAAAAATGTAAAATGTAGTTGTGGTCACACTGATCCCTTAGAAACCACCACCACCACCACTGACGACAACAACAACAGTTTTTGCTGCATCTGTATCATTTAAGCAGCACCTCCACACCTGACGCATGAAGTTGCATGTCTTTCTCTCTGGTGTTTTCCTTTCCACTTGTGAAAAGCAGGAATTCATTTCAGTCCCCTCTCCCCAACCATGGAAAGCCTGCTGTGACCTGATTTGCTGAGCAGTCATCCTGTCCCTATTAATGTGTAATAGCACCATGACTGCAAATTAAATTTCCATATATTCATGGAACTGTTCCTAGTCTGTCCTTTTCCATGGATCAAACCAATTCTGAGCCAATAACACACTCTTAATTACCGCGGCTTGATAATAAGTCTTAATTACGATGGCCTGATAGTCACTCCTGATGTACAGAAGGACGTGCCCCTTCTTGTTCACTTTTGCAACTGCACTGACCATTTTTAGACTTCACCCCTTTACTAACTTTAGCATCAGTTTGTCAGATTCAAAAGAAAAGTATTTTGCTGGGTTAAGTTAACAATTTAATTTGAGGAGCCATGATATTTTTATAAAGCCAAGTGATCCAGTTCATGAATATCATTCTGATTTTCAAGCATCCTTCAATAACATTTTATAATTTGTTTGTAGAATGCCTGTGCCTGTTTGTTCCTTTCCCCCCGGGGGGGTACCCTTACAGCTTTTGTTATCATGACAGTTGGATAATTTTTTTATTAAAAATGTAATTTACTGATTGCTGTTTATGAAAGGGCTAATGATCTTATTTAAAAGGCAAATATTCTTATTAGTTTATTTTTAGAAGACTTTTGTGTTTTTCATGTAGATTAACATGTGATCAGTAAATAACACCTTGATGTCTTTCCCACCTTAATCTCACTGCGTGTGCGGGGACCCCCCCCCCCCCTTGCAGTGGGAGTGCTGGGAAGCCTCCCCCATTTCTGTCTCATCGGGAATATATCTAGTGTCCATCCTGCTTATCCCGTTTGCTGTGCATTTTTTAAAATAGAACCCTTTATCAAGTTAGGGTATTTTTTCTATTCAATTTGTGTTTATAGTAGGACTATTTTTAAAATCAAATGGATACTGTAATTTTATTATATACTTACTTTTCCTCAGACTGTTGAAGCAGTCATGGATTTTGTTTTGGGATGTTAAAGCAACAGGTCATGTTGATAGATTTTTCCATTGTGAGCCTGTTGACTCTCTAAGATAAAGCAACAGTGCTTTCCATAAACTGCTGTCACATTTTCAATGCACTGCTTCAAACAATCTATCTATCTATCATCTATCTATCTATCTATCTATCTATCTATCTATCTATCTATCTATCTATCTATCATCTATCTATCTATCTATCTATCTATCATCTATCTATCTATATTTATTTATTTTAGCATCTTATTCACAAGTAAAGGCTTAGGGTTTCCCTTTCTTACACTGTGCTTGAGTGTTGACTGGTATCAGGGCTCTATTACCTCTGCAAAAATGCATTTGGAAAATTTTTTTCTTTTCCAGTTTTCTCTGACAGTTTGCTTCTGATAGCTATTATTTCCTCGAATGTTTAGTGAATCTCGTCTGTGAAGCTACCATATTTTGAAAATTTAATACAATTTCTCTATCCTCTAAATCATTTTGGTAATCCAGCTTTCTCTTAAAAATAGATATATTCAAATCTACAAAATTTTGAAATTTGGCTCATGGTATCTCATTTTAACGTGTACTATTTCTGTTGTCATACCCCATTTTTGTTCCATATATATCTATGCATAGTGAACTCTTTTTCTCCTAAATAAACAAAGGTTTATTTATATTTTTTTATGAGCCTGTTGCTATTTGTGATCCTTTCAAATAGGCAGCTTTTGTTGATAATATATCTTTTTAAAATATGGAGGCACATGTTTACTTCCTGGGCTTCTTTTTCTCAACCCCTGACACTCAGGCTGACCATCCACTTCACTGTGGTTTCTGAAACATTCAGTTTTCAGAAGGGCGCCCTTCCTGGATTTCCCGGCTATTAGGTCACTTGAGCCCTTCTGTAGCCAGTGTTTATTGGGGGAAGCTCTTGGGATTTGGCTCTTGGAAGTACAATTGAGGATGATTTGAACTGAAAAGTAGAATAAGGGTGATTTCTCAATGTGGTGTATACAGTGGCCTGGAAATAAATGTTACTAAGATAATCTTGCAAGCCCATTCAGAGACTCCCAGGAACATCCCACAGATGTCCTGGAAGACCATCTCGACATCCCCCTATGACCTAATGATTCCATGCAGGAAAGCAGTGGGAATTCAATAAGGACAACAGAATAGATGATCACCAGTCTCAAAAAGACAGCTTTCCTGGAAACACTGTGAACCCAGCTGCATCTGGTTCAGTCTGGCTCCTCT